CAAACTGTGGCTCGGGAGCCACATGCAGCTCTTTCACGCATATTGTGTGGCTCCTGGCAGGGTGGCTGGGGAAGCAAAGGGGAGGCATACCTCCCCGATCGGTCTTCCCTTCCCCAGCCAGTGTTCCCCTCCCTGGGTAGGCTTGAGGTGGGAGGGAGCAGAGAAAGAAAGCAACTAACTTTAAATGCATTCTCAAACCCCCCACCCCACCTACAAATATCATTGGATAAATAAATATCATTATCAATATCTGTTTTTTACCCCATTTGTTTTTATTTTTGGCAGCCTCATTTAATGTTAATAAAAAGCAAATCTGCATATTTTTCAATAAAAATGTCTGTGTAATATTTGTTCATGTCTTGCAGTTCTCAAACATCTGATGTTTATTCTATGTGGTTCTTATGTTAAGCAAGTTTGGCCACCCCTGCTCTAGACCTCACCCTTCTGCCTTCTTTCTGGCAGCTCCATCTCTTCAATCTGTGTCTAGTACTATTTTATTGTGTGCCCCTTTCCCTGTTCTCAGACTTGCCCATCTACTGCATCCATGTGCTTCTTCCTCTGTGGAAACTGAATTCAGAAGTGCATGCAAACATGATTTTCAGATATTTACCTTTGTCCTAAACACATGTAAAGTTGGACATGGGTTAGTCTTCCCTGTTAATACTGTTGGACTTCTCAGCAGCCTTTGAGGCAGTTAACCACTCCATTGTTATTCACCGCTTTGAATATGGAGTTGGTATTGGGTAGCCCTTTGTAGATTTCACTCTTTTCTGTCGATCACACTCAAAGAGTCTCCATTGGAGGTGTAGAATCAACTGGGTGGAATTTATCTTGTGGAGTGCCACAGGGTTCTGTTCTCTTATCCACGCTCTTTTATATGAGGCCACTGAGTGAGATTATCCAGAGCTTTGGTATTGAGTGTCATCACTATCCAGATGACACCCAGTATTTCATTATCCAGGCCCCTAGTTGCATCCATTTTGGTTTTGAACTGGTGTTTTGAGGCTGTGATCAAGTAGCTAAGGCAGAACAACTGAACCTGAATCCAGACAAGACATAGGCAATGCTAGTTGGAAAGGCTGATATTTTAGAGGGACTGAATCCACTTGTCCTAGGTAGAGTAACATTGCCTTTTTCACTGCAGGCCAAGAGCTTGTTTGAAAAGCAAGTTGGCATGGTGGCCAGGAGCAGTTTCTGTCAGCCGCATCTCATTTGCAAGCTCTCTCATTACCTAGACTGAGCCTATCTGGCCACACTGATCAATGTTTCTGTAACCTCATTGTTGAATCACTGCAACATGCTCTATGTGGGACTGCCCTTAAAGACAACCTGGAAACTACAATTGCTCCAGAATGCGGCAGCCAGATTATTGTCAGGGGCTAGCTGCCAGGAAGATATGTTACCCATTTTGTTGTTGTTCTTGTTCAGTCGCACAGTCGAGTCCGAGTCTTTGCGACTCCATGGACCACATCACGCCAGGCCCTCCTGTCTTCCGCCATCCTCTGGAGTTTGCTTAATTTCATGTTCGTTGCATCGATAACACTGTCTAACCATCTCATCCTTTGCCATCCCCTTCTTCTGTTACCTTCAATCTTTCCTAACATCAGGGTCTTCTCCAGTGAGTACTCCCTTCTCATTTGGTGGCCAGAGCATTTGAGCTTCAGCATCTGTCCTTCCAGGGAACAGTCAGGGTTGATTTCCTTTAGGATTGAGTGATTTGATCTCCTTGGTGTCCAAGGGACTCTCAAGAGTCTTCTCCAGCACCATAATTCAAAAGCATCTATTCCTTATGGACCAACTCTCACAGCCATTACTACTGGGAATACCATTGCTTTGACTATGTGGACTTTTGTTGGCAGTGTAATGTCTCTACTTTTTATTATGCTGTTTAGGTTTGCCATTGCTTTCCTCCCAAGGAGCAGGCATCTTCTCTCATGGCTGCAGTCACCATCTTGGATCCCAGGAATGTGAATTCTGTCACTGCTTCAATTACTTCCCCTTCTATTTGCCAAGGAGTGGTGGGGCTGAATGCCATGATCTTAGTTTTTTTGATGTTGAGTTTCAAGCCAACTTTTGCACTCTCTTCTTTTACCCTGACCAAGAGACTCTTGAGGTCCTCTTCACTTTCTGCCATTAGAGTGGTATCGTCTGCATATCTGAGGTTGTTGATGTTTTTCCTGGCAATCTCCAGCTTGTGATTCATCCAGGCCGGCATTTCTCAGTATGTACTCCCCATATAAATTAAATAAGCAGGGTGACAATATACATCCTTGCCGTACTCCTTTTCCTATTCTAAACCAATCAGTTGTTCCATGTCCGGTTCTAACTGTCGCTTCTTGACCCTTATACAGGTTTCTCAGGAGACATGTGAGGTGGTCTGGTACTCCTGTCTCTTTAAGGACTTGCCACAGTTTGTTGTGTTCCACACAATCATAGGCTTTACCCATTTTGAAAAGCTATATTGGCTGCCAGTCTGTTTCTGAGTTCAATTCAAGATGCTGATTATTACCTTTAAAGCCATTCATGACCTGAGACCCGCATATCTGAAAGACCATCTCTTTGCTATGTGTCAACTACAGTCATAAGGCAGCCATCTGCTGGCCCATCTGACATCAACCCAAGCTGAGGCCTTTTCCATCGTGGCTCCAGCTCTGTAGAATGGGCTCCCTGAAGAGGTGAGGGGGGCCTCCTCCTTAAAGAGTTTCAGGAGGTGCTGTGAGGCCTGCCTGTTTGCCAGGGCTTTTGAGGGAGTCTGAACTGGTAGGCATGTTTTAAGGGGGGAAAGGGGAGAGATTTGAGGGTTGCTATTGTATATTTAGTTTTAGCAGGAAATGTTTTTGACTCTTATAAGAAGACACCTTGAATCACGAGAAGTGGCAGGATATACATGCTTTAACAAGCACGAGATCCTTTCACCCTCCCCAGCTCTGCCCCCAAATCTCCAGGAATTCCCCAATCTGGAGTTGGCAACCCCAGTTATAACAGATGTCCTTAGGTAGGTGCTGTATTAATTCAGTTAAGAGTTAATAGATTATTGTGAGAGTGTCTTTACTGACTGACGATTTTGGTCACCAAGCCATCCCTTCCTTCTTGTGAGAAGAACAGTACTTAAGTTGGGTGGCCTGAATGTCTATG